GATACTCTGATTCAGGGCTTTTAAATAGAAGGAAATCACTATTCGTGGGTTTGACTTGTTCACAAAATACGTCCCATTACAATCTAAATTTTTTGAGTAGGTTTTTCTTATCTTCAGTGTCATTGGGTTTTATATAAAGTGCTGATGATCTTGACAGCTTTCCATTAAGCAAATTTAAAGATTTCCCAATGTCAAGCTTTTGTAAAATTTCTTAGAAAACATTTAGCATTATCCCAGAAGGATAATTTTTTTATGATCATCCCCTTGAGAACAGTCACAATATTCCATCTTGTCAAGTTTATTTCTTTGGTTTATTTGTTTTTAATATCTTACAGCATCAATAATAAATCAGTGGATGAATTCACATCTTTTTGCATTGTAGCATATGTATAAGCTTACATATATTATTATAGTTTGGAGAACGCATTACACGCTAATCAACAGATCACTGCAATATTATAGGACTGAGTTTAATGTGCTTTGCTTTCTTGCAGAAAACACATTGATCTAGATGAAGGGAAAATGTGGTTCCTTCTCATGCCAGCATTGCATTATTTTCAGGCCACATAACTTTTGCATGCAGGAAATTATATTGTTGATCTCTCCTGATATTAGCAGACTAGCATATTGCTACATCATTTATAGTCTGATCTGAATTTGGATTTATATCCTGGCAACATAAATGCTGCTCTTTAGTATAAATATACACAGCTAAACATAGCTTTTTATATAATTTATAGATGTATTTAAATTTCCTTGAAACATCAGCAATGATTTCAAAGCCTGATATTATCTAAATGCAAATATTTGCTCAGTGAACTGTTACTTAGCAATTAGTTATTTATCTCTGACTGCTGAAGGATTTAGATTATTTCCCATTTTAGTGGCATAAGAAAAATCTATAGCTAATTCTCAGTTTACAATCACAATTAGGACTGTAACTTCCATTACAAAGTAATATGGTTGTTAGTCAAGCCTGATTTTACAACTTTTTACCCTGTTTGTTATGCAAATAACTGGTTGTTAAACAAATCTGGTTAACCTCAAATCTGACTTTGTTTATTGGAAGCCCCCTGGGAAGGCCATAAATGGTGATCATGCGGCCCTCAGGTGGCTACAACTGTTGTAAATAAATTCCACATGTTAGGTGCTTGAATTTTGATCATGTGATTCTGGGGGATGCTGCAACCATTATAAGTATATAGACTGGTTGTAAATCACTTTTTTCAGCACTGTCATCAACTTTGAACAGTCAAAATCACAAGTGGCAGGAAGTCAAGGACTGCTTGTACAATTCTGTAGGTGTTTGATTTAGGATTAGGTAGGATGGAGCCCCACTTCAGAGAAAGGAAGAAAGAGATTTTATGCAGATCTTGAATTCAGGGAAAGAAAATATTCATTTTCACAACTGATTATTTATTATTTTTATCAGATTGACTGCCAAAGCATGATTTTAAACCAATGCAGGGAGAACAAAAATTCTTACTGCTTTTCTGACTTCATATAGACAAGAACTGAAATAGGACTATAAACAAATTTATTCAGTTTTGGGACTATATCTGGTTGTTCCATATGGAACAGTGCTTGGATACTTAAAATTAAATACCATTCACTGACTTTCCCAAATCAAACTTTTAGGAAAAAACTAACAAAAAATCAACAAAGGGATATAATTTATTCAAACTGTACCAAGGACATCTCTTATGTTAAAGGAGGTTATGTTAGAGAAAGATTTCAAAGCTTGCACTGGGAAAATGCATGAATAAAAAAGTAATCATAATTTATCATTAAAAAATGATTTTCTGGCAATTTCTATTAACAGGTCTTTATATCAGAGGGGATGCTCTAGATAATCGCAGAGATGATATTGGAAAAGCACGTGACAGTTAGGAAAACATGATTTAAGTCCAGGAATAGAAAAAGAATATTAGAGAGTAACTTATATTAGCTCTGCAGTAATTCTCTTTGGTATAAGAGGGAGGGAGTGAAACACTGACATTGTTTCAGGATTCTATTACTATCAATAAAGTAGGTTTCCAGTCTGTCTTTTGGAGTCTGTTTCCTGACTGTCTGCCTTGAAAGGTTGACAGATGCTTACAAAGATCCTACAAGTCAGAAGATATTAATTAATGGACCAGGTTACAAATAAAATATGCCACATTTTTATTGATCCATTTAGAAGAGCTAACCCAGTAGTATATTAGAAAACATCTTGATCTAATTATTACAGACATTAAAGTTGCAGGTAGGGAAGAAAAGAAATTTGCCATACAGGCACCTTTTGTTCAAAAGCTCTAAAGATGGCTGAGGCCATCTTTAACTGATAATACAATATGGGAAGACTATGTCACATCTCCATGGGCAGAGCAGGATTATCTGAGTTTTCTTGTCCTTTCCCTCCAAATATTTTTTTCTTCCTAGAATTTCCCCAAAAGTGCAGGGTCCACTGTTTTGTATCAACGAAATAGTGATCCATTGTTTGCAACAGGTGTTGACCAACAAGCTTTTTGCCCAAGCTTGACATTGCAGGCTGAGTAAAACTAACTGGCCTAAAATCACCCAGCCAATTTTCAAGCCTAATGTTTAGACTTAGACTTTATTGTCACTTTGAATGTATGCTAATCAACATACATTAAAATGAAATTTCATTGCATACAACTCTCAAAGGGTCTCCAAATATACACTACATAAACATACATACATACATACATACATACACGCACAGATACGTATATATGGTACATACATACATATGTATGCATATACCAACATATATTATATGACATGGGGAAAAAACACATTCTATTTTTTTAATTTAAAAAATAAACTTTATTAAAGATTAAAAAATATGTACAATATATAGAACAAGACATTTTATAACAAATGAAATTAATGTGTAAAACACAATGAATACACATAAAACATATAAGTTTCTAATTTGACAGTGTGTTCTTTTTTCAAAAACAATTTTTCTAATATTCATTTTCTGTTTCTGGTAACTACTCTTAGTCTAACTACTTTATTTTTTCCATTCCTTATCTTTTTATTCCCTGGTTTTTATCCTTAATCCAATTGTAGCATTTTTCCCAAACTGCACTATATTTTGAGTCTACCTCGTCTTTTATTTTTGGGTAAATACATCCATTTCAGTGCAGTCAAGGACCTTCTGAATTATCAAATTGTTTGTTGACATTTGGTCACCCTTCTAGCATTGTGCCAACACAATTCTTGCTGCCGTAATTATATGAAGAATTAAATATTTCATTTCTTTTGCATAATCACCTTTATCATTCCCAATAAAAATATTTCGGCCTTGAATTCTAGTTGAATATTTGTGATTTCTTTTATCCAAAGTCTAATCTTTTTCCAGTATTTTTTACTTTTTGGGCAAAGCCACCAAGCGTGGAAGAAGGTACCCCTCATTTGCTTGCATTTCCAACAAAGCAGACTTAAGTTTGGGTACATGTTAGCCAACCTCGAGGGTGCCAGATAGCACTTATAACACATTTTGTATTAATTTTCTTTATAGACTACCAATTTTATAATTTTGCTTCCAGATTTTTTCCCAATCTTCCAGGTTGATGTTGTGCCCTACATTCCTTGCCCATGCAATCATTGGGCCCTTAACTTTTTCATTCATTCCCTCTAATATTTTATCTAACAGATTCGGCTTTACCTCAATTCCAAATTCTTCTACATCTTTTTTGTACCTCGTTTTGAGTTGTAAATATGGCCACCACTCTAATTTCATGCCTTGGTCTCTAAGTTCTTGGTTTGTCTTTAGTGTTATAGACTGTGAAGTGGGTGTGGGATCTCTAACAATGCTTTGAGCTATAGCACTTATAAATAGTACCCTGAATAACAGGATTCCTATAATCTTCTTGGCTGTCCTTACCACTCTCTGAATAGACTTTCTCTCTGAGGCACTGCAGCTGCCAAACCAAACAGTGATGCACTTTGTTAAAATATGGAACTAGAACTCACAATCTCCTTAATCGCTAGACCAAACTGGCTCCTTCAAAATATATTTACTGCATCTCTCCCCCCACCCACCCAAATTTCCATTAAGATAACAAGAAACTATGCCACTGATTTTTAGCAACTAGCTTACTTTGGTTTGGAAGTCACAAAAAAGGAATTAAAAAGCAGCATGCGGTTTCAGCTTGCATTTGTTCACTCATTACCATATGGATCTTAGTGACACTGCCATGCCTTCAGAGTTTTCAAGGTGCAGTATGTGGTCTTCTTGATGTTTCTGTCAGTTAACATGAATTAGGAACACTGGGAAAGGTATACCAAGCACTCTCAGGATGACCAATGAGCAGTATCTCAGACTAGCAAAAAAAAAAAAAATTGGAATGCATTCATGGGCCGTCAGCCAAAGTAGTCTTCTTTCCATGGTGTTGGGAAAAGCATTTGTGCAATGCCAACTGATTATATACCTAGTGACAATTCTCATTCACACTAAATTTGCCACTCACATTTTTCTGTATCCGTTGGATTTGCAGGTACAAATATTTATTCTTCCATGAATGTATTTTTAGATTTAGATGTAAACTCATTACCCAGGCAGTTAGACAGTGAGGTAGTTATTTGCCAGGAAGAAAGGATATACATTTATTATTTCTTCTTCAAGTTGGCTTTCCCTACATACTATAAATTCCTGCATAATTTTTCTTTTGTGTAAGACAATATTTCTACAGGAACAATAAAAAATAAAGGACAGATCTAAAATTGTGCCTCCATCTTCCATAAGATTCTATGTTTACTCAGTTAATATGCATAAGACCTCAGCCTAAATTATGTCACATATTTATGTGTAGATTGTTTTATTTGGAAAATAACCCACAAATCAACTAATCTGCTGTAAAACTGACTTACTCTCATTGACTTTAGTGGCACTAATCCATTATCTGAAGCCAGCTGTGTTTCCTGGGAAAATATTCTTTTGTCAAATGAAACCTGCCAGCATTACCAAAAAAGAAATCATAAACCCATACCTGATAGTGCATTAAAATATGCATGATGTAATCATATATCTCTCCAGCAAGTTTATTTTCTGGTCTCCAGGGGAAAATGACAAACTGAATACCTAATAAGGGCACAAGAATTAAAGTGGCTCTGACAGCTTTCATATACATATTGGATTCAGCCCGATGTGTATCCCTCAGTTTTGTAACGAGAACTCGTACAATGTTGAGCAAAAAGAAAAAATTGACCTGAAAAAAAGTAAGTGTGTTACTTTTATTCTTATAAAACATTAAACAAAAGTTGGGACATATGAATATTCCAATATAAAGAAAATATTACTCTCATTTTTATTTTTAGCCAACAGGGAATTTAGCTTATAACAAAAATGCATTAAAATTTGCAGAAATGTTTGCAAACCCCACTAGGAAGGAGGGCACATACAAGCAATATCTGTCTGCCTGTCTTTACAGTTTCAGCAAGGCCTATCCATTTATCCATGTTGTGCCAGAGCACCTCCCTAATTATGTGGGAAGAGAAGCCTTCACCTAGAATAACTTCTTACTTGATTCCATCTCAACATACCATCAAAAGAGTGAAAATAAGATACATGGCCAATCTGCATGCTCTGCTCTGTTGCCTGCATCCTAAACCTGTATCAGACTGTTAGTAAAGACTAGCCCATTACAAGTCAAACCACCCTACTCTCTCTTTCAATGTCTTCAACATCATAAATATAATCATAATCAATCAATCAATGCACTTTTGAAATAGCAACAGTAGTGCAATATGTAATCCAGATAATAAAGAAGGTTTGAAGACAGCTTTTCCCTTCTCCCCTTTGTAGTAATTAGGCCTTTTTTTTTAAAAAAATGATATGTTTTATTTTACAGAGTGACTCAATATGAAAAGATATGCATATCAAACCATATTGGTCTTTGTGATACTTTGGAGGGAATTATTACAATAAATCTTCATTTGACTTAAATTTTTGAGAAACAAAAAATCAGGGACGGTATTCTCTTTGTAAAGTGTAGTAGGATATTATACACAGCAGCTGGTTATCACAATCTGTTGTGCTGAAAATATTTATGTAGTGTTTCTATTTGGAATTAATGAATTGTATGCAACAAGTAACTTATTTTTAATGGGTTTTTTTCTAGGACGTTAATCTTTGCTATATTTGACATAACTATCATCAGAATATAAGCTTTTATCAGATGCTTCCCAGACATTATAAAAATCTGTCCAGCTGTTAATTTGTGTATCTTTTTTCCTAAGTAGCTGTATATAATGGCTATGATCTCTTAAGAACCCAAATATATAGCATTTACCCTGTTACTTCAGATCAAAGAATCATCCAAATCAACATTGTGCATCAGACAAAGGTCAACCCAATACATGCACAAAACTTGCAAATATGGAGACCAAAGAGGTGAGAAATAAGCATTTGCTAGGACATTTTTTTAACCAAGTAAATACATATTATACCAGGCAGATCCCAATGACTCAATGTATTCAGAACCCCCCCACCCTCATTTCAAGTTCCAAACATTGGATTATGTTATTGACAGATTTCTAACATCCAATTTTCTTCTCTACCCATGAAGACAGAAATCTGCTTCAAGTCAAGATAATGGTTCAGAAGTCCCAAGGACACAAGGAACCATGGAATTGGGTGACTATTTTTATAAAATAGTTAGTGGTCCTGAATGCTGTGGGACAAAACATCTCAATAAAAACAATGAAGTGTAGCAGAAGAAGTTTAGTGCTAAACTCACAATAAAATAGCAAATAATATTCTCACCAATAAAGCTGCCATTACAGGCCCATGAACAATGTACAGCAAATATGTGTCAACACTAATCCAACATCTGGAAGAAAATAAATAAATTAAATAATGAAATTATATATATTTTAACAGATCCTAATTAAGCATTATATAAAGTAGTACAATACTCACTTATCATTGAAATATCTGGCTCTGGCCACAGCATGAATCGATGCTGGCACTAAAGGAAAACCTAGAATAATAAATCATATATATCATATTTAATATTATTTTGGATTTGTTTATGGTCATGTGTTTGTCTGCATAGATATGTCATACACACATACACACAGTTGGAAAGGAAAGTTTAAACTAATACTCTTCTTGGTCCAGGTATTTAATCAAACTATTTCCAGCAGAAGATCATACAATTTCTACCTGAACAGATCCAGTGAAGGGGAACAATTAATAATTGGTTCCATTTTTAAACTGCCACTACTGTGAGAATTTGCTTGTTCTAGCATGCAGTCTCAATCTGGATTATTCTATATACGTTTATATCCTGTCATTGTTCCACTAGTTCAAGTTAGCCAAAGTTGTGCATTAGTGAAAAGTTAAACAGACATGTTAATTGATGATTACAACAACAACAACAACAACAAAAATGAATTGCATAACTAGATAGAGATTTGAATGATGACCTTCAAATCTTAACCTAGGTTTAAATCAACTTTAAAGCTGATTTAAAGCCATCATGAAAAAACAAATGAGTCAAATAAACCAGTGAATTCTGTGGTTACTGTTTGAGAGAGAGAGATCCATTCCAATTGACAGTGGCACTTAGCTGTTGCTGCTGAATTAGCCTTGACTGGCTAAGTCAAGAAATTGATCAATGCGCCGCCTGTGGGCATATAAATATTTTCCCACTCAACAATGATTCCCTTTTAATGTATTCTTTAATGCAATTCAATGTTCTTTATAAGCTGGGGGGAATTTGAAAGCATTATCTTCAATGTTTCAAACATCTCCTTTTCAAATGGCTGTTACTGAAGATGAACAAGTTTCATGTGTTTAAGAAATGTAAACACTGATGGAAATTGTATGGAATTAAGACTGATATCACAAAAGTTATTTTTTCAATGTATTTTGCTTTAACATTGCCTTGCAAATCACTGTTAAATTATAGTTGAAAGAATAAAAATGGACCAAACAACATTTTATTTGATAAAAGTTCTGGTTTGGCTGAAATATATTTCTTGAAATAAATGTGAGCTATCAAAGTCACCTTGATTTGACACCAGAGCTGAGGCAAATCACTGTGATGCAACCTTCAAAACTGCTATCCTGTTTGTATAGTTCACCCCACCCAACACACCTACACATCTTAAAAGGTTACCTCCAGAAATGTATTCTCACAGAAAAGAGAATTGTGCAGTCTGGGAGTTTTTCTTGACCACAAGCTCTTTTAGCTTTTAATGGTGAGATGAGCACAGTGAACAACAATGGCTAATGTAAAGTGTGATGTTCTTCAATCACTTAAACTAAAGGTCAAGAAATCTTAAGGCTAGTCAAATTACTTTGACATCTCAAGCCAAAACCTCTACTAGATTCTCTCTTGTGGGAAAAGTAATATAATAATTAAATGAACGATTTGCTTTATTCTACACATTTTTGCATAATAACTTATAGGAGCTATTTTTTCTGTGGATATTCACGTTTGTATGAGTCAATTACTTTAAAAACTCTGTGACAAAATGAAATATTTTAACAACTGGGTGGAAGACCACATACCCCAGCCCAGGAGGTAATACCAATGCAAGCGCTGTTCTTCAGCAAATACTGCTACCACAATCAGTGTATGAAGATATATTCCTTCACAAAGCATCCAGAAGTAGTTACAGCCCATTGTATATTGGTGAAAAAACTGAAGCACTTTGCAGCTTACCTGTCAGAGAAAAGCAGCAGACAGATTTGGAGCAGACAACAATGTATAAAAATGAATAAGAAAATATTATAATAGACTTTCACAAGCTTTTACCTGCTATTACATAGATCTATACCCTTCAGCATCTTCTAATGACTGAATTTCTAATGTATCATACATATTGATTAAATCTGTCTCCTATATCAGGGTTTTGTGGAAGAAACCAACATGTCAAACATAAACAATCCATATTTCAGATATTTTTGCCTGTGATACAGAACAAATACATGCATAGGTCAATAAATTCAGGAGCTACACTACCTGAATTCCTCCCTAGTCCACAGTAACCTGGTTATCTTAAAACTTTCTTTCCTTTATAGTAAGCATTAGGTGATGCTATATAGCTAGAATGATTTTGAAAGCAAATCATTTTTAAAAAGTTTGCTGGCTACTGAAACTCTGTTTCATGAACCCACAAATTTCAATATCAAGAAATGGGCAATAACAAAAATAATAGAAACTTTCCATATTATTGCAATGCAATATCTGTTGGGTATTGGACTAGGACCAAGGAGACCCAGGTTCTAATCCACTTCAGCAACAGAAACCCACTATGCGAACTTGGGCCGGCCATTGTCTCTTATTCCAACTTCACTAGATATTTAATGTGTTGAGAAAAATTGCTGCACAGAGTGATACATACGTTATTTTAAGGTACTGGAGGAAAAGCACAATGTAAATTTAAAACATCAATATATATTAACAAAAAAAGAAAATATTTTCCTGAAGTTTCTGGCAAAGAATATTGCACTACATTAAGTCAGATAATATGTTCACCTACTACAATTAAATTTGTATTGAAATTACTGGCTAAAAAAGGTTACAACTTGTTCATCTGAGGCTAGGGAAGGCTGAGAACGGTTTAGATCAAGGGTGTCAAACTCAAGGCCTGCAAGCCACATGTGGCCCACAGGGTGCTTGTATGTGTCCCACAGGGCCACCCTGGAAACAATGGATCAACCCGCAGTGCCTCTGCCAGTGAAAACATGGCTCCATTTTCAGGCATAGTGGCCTCTTGCAGCCCTCTTACAGTGAAAATGGAGCTCGGGTGAGCGTATGACATCAAACTGGCTGTGCCCCTCCCAGCCATGCCCCCTGCACCCCCCCAAGGTTAAAACCCTGATGCGGCCTCAATGAATTCATGTTTGACCCCCCTGGTTTAGATACAGCAGTTCTAGAACATTTTGCATACAAGGGAAATGCTTTACTGCTGCAGAAGCTTTTAGAATAACTTTTTCTAAGGGACAAAATGCCCATATTTACTGGACTCTCATTTATATAGGAAAATTAAAGCCTTTCCTCAAAATAGCACTTTATCAATATGATTACATACTTGTGTTAAATTAAAGATGAACACATTATATGTCATATACATCTGTATCCTTAATGTATTGTTTATAAAACCACAACTTAAAAGAACTGGCTGTACGTTAATAATAATTTTTTTCACCCTTTCTAAAAATGCAGTCACAAAATGCTGTCTATGTAGTATAAACGAAAGTCCAATTTTTTTAAAAAACAATCCTGGGCATGGTGGGACAAAACACTGTCATTTTTTTTCTCAGGAATAAATATTTACAGACAGGTTAGAACTCATCAGGAATCAATTTTCACACCTATTCTCTATTTTGAAACTTTGAATGATGTGACATCCACAAAGGACACATTTTCATTATTTGTTATTATGAGACAGGTTTCCATATCTTGATTTAATTTTATTTTTGATGGATAATAGAAATATTTTTGAATGAATGCTTGGGTTTTCTGCTGACAAGGCCAGAAAGGCTTAACTCCATGCTGGCATTACATTATATTTAACTCTTCAATCAGAATTGAAAAACTGGCCTTTTTCTAAAGGTCTCCATTTTCATTTAAGTTTGTAGGTTTGATTTTCTACATGAAATTAAGCACCTGCCATGTATTTTGGGGATGTCTTTAAAATTTTACTGGCTTCATTTCTTTGTAGAAAAGAAAAAGTGATGATATCTTTTGAAATCCTCTGCTGTTCCTGAGAATGCTAAGACTTTCTCCATATAGTTTTGGTAGTCAAATGATGGATGGATATTTACAGCACGCAATGAATAAGAATGTTCAATGATATCAGATACACATCGTTCAGTTATTCTCATATGGATTGTCCTATCTATCCACAACCTTTTTATTTAAATGGGGCATATTCACTAAAACTTGTCTTTCTCACACTAGTCATGAATTGGAAGCCAATAAAAAAATATGTCTGAATTAACAGTGTCAAGCTTCACCCAGCTGAATAAGATCAAGGATGCAAAATGTCAAACAGATATTTTAATGTTAGCTCTGGGGATAATCAGAAATTGTAAAACTTTCCCTCCATAACATATAGTGGGTTAATCAAGGCAGAGTTTCTCTGAATGACTGAAATGCTTCTTCCAAGTTTTCTTTCCATTTGGAATAAATTGCCACTTATCTAAATAAACCATTAAATTACTCACTTGCTACCTTGTGGTTATTAAGGTCCACATTCCTGTGCTCCTTTTACATTGGTTGATATGATCATTAATACATTATTTTCTCCTAAAACAAACTATTGTAAAGTATCAGTAGTTCTATTAGTTTCACTTTATGCTAAATAAGCTACTCTGTGGATATCTGAGGTAACCTTTTCCTGTTTATCTTGATTCTCATGCTTGTAGAATATTTCAGTGATTGATTGGCAATGTTAAGACATAATGCTCTCTGGTCATGATGGAATGTTGTTTAATCAGAGAATGCCTATGTCTAAAAAAATCACCAATAAACAATTTCTGGCTTTCAGAGTTCCATTATTTTGTGAACATTTTATTAAGATGTTCTAAATGGACCCTGGCATATGTCTGTAAATTTTATGCGACTATCCCAAAGTACACTGTTGCATTTTGTAGCACATTGGTGTCTGCATCAAATGACCGAAATCATGCATGTGTCTTTTCTTTTATACGCTATTCTGTTTTAAAAGAAAAGACATATCAAAAACAGCTTCACTTGGTTGCTTGATATGGATTTATTACTTGGAACCCTGATGTTGGATTCTAAATGAGTTCCTGCTGGCATATACCAGTAAACTCATTTAATGACTATCTACAGTGACCATATCTGTAGTTACCATGTTGATGAAAAAGTAACTTTGGGGACCATTCTTCACATTTACAGTCTTCTCAGTTCTCTAAAGCAAAGGAAAGCTGGGGTGTGATTGTAAGCACAATAGAAGTTTTATTTAGCAATCACTTTGCTTAGCAACCAAATTGCTCCTCTCAGTTGTAATCATTCAAGGAGGACTATCTGCAGGATGTTTCTAATAAAAAACAAGAAAGATTACTAATACTATATGAAGCATCCACATGACCACACAAGTTTTAGGAAACTATGAAGCATAGCAATAGGAAAATAAAGGCATGAGCTAAGATAACATGGGAGGTTCACATACTGTGTTAAACCATAACACAGCTTCCTTGGCTCTAGCTGGACTGTAATATGAATCAATCCATTGTAGTTTCTTAATTATGATTTACAATAGCAATGGCATTTAAACTTATTAAATTGTTCCATAGTGCTTTAGAGCACCCTCTGGGCTGTTTACCCTCAGCTTATTGCCCTCAACAATCTGGGTCCTCATTTTACTGACCTTAGAAGGATAGAATGCTGAATCAATCAAGTGGAGGACTATCTGTACTGAGTTGAGAAAGGTGCCATGCATTGAGATACCTTGGTCCCTGTTGTAGTTGAGCAATGAGAGGCTAGACCAGGGCTTGGGTGCAACA